GCGCTCCAAAGTTATGGACGCCAACGCAGTCGCAGAACGCTGGCGCCGATCGATACCACGATTACGTCTATGGCTTTGGAGCGCTGTTGCAGCTGTCGCGCGACAACGCGCGTCATTGTGAAGTCAGAACGCTGTCTAAAGTTCATTTTCAATAAAGAAAGCGCGGTTTTGACATATCAACACTTCCCAGCTAATATTCTACCGTATGAGCGGACGAGGACGCGAGGATGGATACCGCCATTCTACCACATGCTTGACTCTGAAATCAAATTCCGAACCATTTTCGTCCAGACCGAACGCGTATTTGGTTCAAGGTGTAGTCGTTATAGCTGCAAGCAAGAGGACTTGCGAAGCGGCATGGATTAGAGCACATCCAGAACCGCCCTCTCCACCAATTGTTCCCAAGTCATGACGGCCACAACTGGAGGAACAGGCCGCCCTGGGTAGGTCTAATCCACGCCCCCTCACACACCCTCTCATTTCCACGGATAATGATCATAAGCAAAATACCTCACTAAACCCTGCAAATCATCATGGAGACCTATTCCCACCGCTTTCCGCATGGGAACAACACTTGCAAAAATCAGTCAATGCCAGAAGCTCTTTAGCGGTTACAAATTTCACGCTGGGTTGTTTATTCAATCCACATTCTACAAGAATCCTCTAACGATTTGCCTAGGTGACCTGCCCTTTCCGCAGGGCCAATTCCAAATGCTTACTTTCCGGAGAGATTTATTAGCCATTATACTGGCCACGAACCCTCCCTCTTTTGAGCCATTCCGCAGGTAATAGGAGATTGTATGAACGCGCAACACGATATCGAATTTCATCACAATAAACTATATGGAAATACAACAATAAGTTGAAATTCCTACCATTTCCATTTGTTTGCAATGCAACATGTGGTTGTCTTTTCACAATAGCCGCAGCAAGCTGAAATGATAGAAGGATAAGGTGGTGGTGGGGGGGGTCTAAACTCGTGATTAGTCAGGAAAAGATACAATCTTATCCGCTGCGGATGCTATGGCATTTCGGGAGCTAGGTGTGACTTGGTGCCAGCCTGTACTCCTACCAACTGAGGAGGCTTTCAGATGATCACAACTGGTGAAAAGGCTGGCGCCAAGTCACACCTAGCCCCAGCGTCCGCAGCGAAAAAGATTGCACATTCAGAAGACGTCCCAGAATAGGTGACTAGAACCCTCCACTACCCCGCTCTTCGGAATTTCGGCTGGAATTTGACCTTCTGCAGTAGATTTGGCCAGAATTTCGTCCTCGGGGGTAGTTTGGTCCTTGTGGTCATAACCCGTTTCAAACCAAAGCACCTGACGTCCGCGCCACGGGGCGATAACGCCAGCGCCCGAAGCGCATGTAGCTGGCGTTCTCGCACGCACTTAGTGCAGTGTTAAGGGGTCAAAAAACCACCTGTGGTAAGGTTCCAACAAGGGTGATATTCAAAAAGTGTGGCAGGCTCCAGACGGCTCCAAATCAAGAGAGTGTGATGTTCGTGCTGAGTCGGTCAAACTGCTCCGACTAGAAAGTTCTAGTCAAATCTTCTCAGACGGGAAAACTTGATCGAATCTGACCGAAATTGTGAAGAGGAGGAGCTGTAAAGGGTGAAGAGTGCCAAATAAGCATTCCATTACCGCGTGCTCCTTCGAGAAAAGCGCTTGTGAAAATGGAGTTTGTCCCATTTTGTCACGTAATGATAGGAACTCCACATCATTGGCCTTCAACATTTCGAGTAAGGCGTCAGCATTGTGTTGTTGAACGGCCAGATGGCAAGCGGTGCGACCTTGCTGGTCCTAAATATAAGCAGCTGCAGAAAAGATGCAAGAGAAAAACAGAATTCAAGAATTTCTACAAACCTGAACAGCAAGATTGGCCTTCGCTTTGACAAGAGCGCTGACCAGAGCAGTCATTTTTGAAGAAACCGCTCTGTGGATAGGTGCTTCCTCCTTTTCGGTGTCAGGTTCGCGTGATATTCGAACGGCATCGCCATTACAACCGCTAAACGCTTTTTACTCACTGGCAACGTCTCAGAACACCTTCACTGTTGAAGACATGGAAACACCCAGAACATCTTTCATATATTGGAAAATGTGAGTGTTGTTCAAGAGATCGATGTTGCGATAAAGCTGCATTGCAGGACCAGGAAATGACTAGAGCAGGATCATTCCAGCGAGATCGCATCTCGCGAAAATTACCCCTGGCGGCAAGACCTGCCCCGTTGGAAACACTTTTCCGATTTCTGTTTCCTGCACTTCGCCGCAACTCGGATTTCTTAAACAGCCCCCGAGAAAGTCGATGCACATGCGCGACATTCGCACCAGAAAAAGCTGATTTCTAACCAGAGCACATCGTGGTTGGGGATTCCCCAACAGGGGTCGTACTGTATACCCTCCCCCCACACCTCCCCTGCATCGATAGCTTGATGAGGAGTTAGTACCATCCTTCCTAAAAACAGAAAGGGGGGCCGTCGTAACGGACCAAAATCCCCAGCCAATGATATGCCCTGTTCTTAACATGGAGGTGAAAGTGTCACACTAGCTTGGAAATCAGGGCACGTCGTACCATTGGGATTCAAGAGTGGTCGGGCCGTATTCTGCCAGAAGGGAAGGCGTGAAGTTAAATCCCTGGTTCGATTGGAAACCGTATTTCGAACACACAATTTACCTTTTCTACAAGAAAACTGCCGGTCATTTCTCATTCATCAGCATCAAATAAAATGTGGAGCATTGGCGTCTGTATGAAGGATCCATCTGCGGTACTGGACTCTAGGTCACATCCTAGCGATACCAGTAACGAAGCACACTCATAGTGTCCTGAAAAAATGACAAAATGGCACATTTTCCAAAAGCTGCTGAAGTTCAGGGCTGAAGAAGACAAAAAGCTAACATTATTCTTAACCGTACAATAAGAGAAAGTTAGGCCGGTGTGCTGTTCAGCTTGAGAAGGGCGTTTTATACTTTCGCTAGTTCGTATAAATTTACATGCTGCACTCTAGCAGGATATGCAAAATCCCGCGAAATGTATGAGTGAGCCTCTGCGGTCACAGGAACTTGCAGTTCTTCACAAATCGCCCGGAGCTAGCTTCGCCTAGTACCTTAGTGCCCCCACCAAGACGTACGGCGCCGCTGACGGTCACAAGCTGAAAAAAAACAGCACCAACGAAGAAACCTTCACTGAGGGCGTGTTTCAGAACTGTATAACCGAAACCTCCATTTGTCCGTTGGTTTATATTCACGCCAAGTCCACATATGGTCCTGAGAGTTTCTAAGAGGCCATAAAATGCCGACATTTCCAAGCAGCTACGACCTTGGGAGTCTCTTGAAAAAAAAGCTAGATGATAGCAAGGCCAGTAGAAGATTTACTTCCATAATACTTACTTAACTACGTGCTTTGCACCATTTTCAAAGTAGGAAAGCGGCTCCAGAATCGTCTGACATCAGTATTCGCTGAACAAGCAACGTATTCCCCAATGCGTCCTTCTCTTCAATATTTGCTCCCGCTGGAAAAAGTGTCCCTGTTACTAAGGATACCTGATTGGGAAACCAGAGAACCAGGGTTCCTGGAGGATACCTGTAACTAGAATCTTCGCGCAGTCCAGTAAGCGTTCATCCAAAGCATAACTCAAAGAGTCCACGGGCTGTCCAATCCACACCTGCACTTGACTATTAAGACCACACTGGTTAAGCTCGACTAGGAGAAAGGTCTTCTGGCTCTTGAGCCGTGGGTACATGACAACCAGACAATCTGATATGCGCAGTGTGGGTGAGCGCGACCACCCGCGCCACCAGCGCGCAACCGATTGTTCTTCCGTCTCCTCTTGAGCATTACCTTTAAGGCTTCCTTTGCGAATACAGTCAGCATTTCCGGACCACTCGCGATAGCTTTGTGCAGAACAGAGTTCCGGCCCGAGCTAGGCATCCTAACCAAAGCGCCTTTCTCCAAGAGCAAAGAGACCAAGGTTACGTTATTTTGCCTCACAGCCACCTCCAAAGGGGTTTCACCCTAAAAAAATGAGTTGTTCGGCAGTTTAATGCATTAAAGGCTGATTGAATTCGAGCCACTGGTCGAGAAAAACAGAAATGTTAGCTACAATAACTCATCGCAATATCTTGTAGGAGCTGGCCAAACCTAGAAGTCCATTTCAGCGCTATTTCTTTTATATTCAAAACGCTGGACGGTGATTAGAGCAGGAAGAGGAATAAAAACTATCAGAGATCAGAAACTTTTTCCAAGCCTACAGTTGAGGGAGCCTTGGCATGGAAAATAAGTTCCGGCGCAGTTCGGCTTGGTAGAGGTATTTTGCCGGTTCCCATCCATCATTGCTGATGCCTCCTACGGAAACCTGTAAATACCTGTAAAACTATGCAATGGGAGAATGTTCATTTACGCTTGACAAGCGCCTACAGGTATCACCAAGGCGATACGTGGAATTCGACAGGAACTAGCAAGGGAGCAAACGAAAGTGCAGAATGCCCCTCCTCACCCCCGCCCTCCCCCTCCCTCCTCGAGCCGAACTGCGCCACAATTCTTCTGGGTATCTTTGGCGTTGTTTTGAATGCCTAGTGAGACCTGGAAATGCACGCACCAGAATATCTCTCATTGGATTAGCGCCCGAGTCAATAGTACGGAAAGTTAGAGCACGTTCATACTTCGCGAACTTATCGCTTGGATCGCGTGATCGGATCGCAATGTTTAAACGCGCTCTCAGAGAAATATTAGCAAATGAACAAGAAAAGTGTAAACGAAAGACAGCTAAAAGACTCACCGCGCTGTTCACTGTATCAATAGCGGCCCCATTTTCAAGTAAAAATCGTACAATCTCAATATCACCACTTTTCACGGCAATGTGGAGCAACGAAACTAAAAGAAAGGCGCAGAACACAAATAGCAACTTACAGCCTTGTTCACTGCGGATGACGGGGCGTGGTGAGGCTGGGTTTGACGACGCACGAAACGTATCCACACTGACACGCCCCAACCTCCGCAGCGAACAAGACTGAAGAAACCGACAAATGTCAAAGACTAACCTCCATCGATGGAATGATTTACTGCAGTAACGCCTCCGCAATTCACAATTTCTCTACTCAGTTCTGTATCATTTCTATCGTAGAGAGCAACAGATAGCGGCGATTTTCCTTCGTCATCTGCTTTCAGGACGTCTGCGCCATGTTTGAGTAAAATCTTTGTAAGGGCAATGTTACCCACCACTACACTCAATAGCAGTGCAGTCCTGAAGAAGGTACTGTTGATTGTTCGAATGAATCCTCTCTGTTACCAAAAGCCCTACCTTCCCTGCGCATCAGTCGCGTTGATGTTCATTCCTTCCAACAGTGGATCAACCCACTCAGCCATCTTGGTCTGATTAACGGCAGAACATGCAACGTAATGAAGTGGAGTGAAGTCCGTTTTTCTTTGAACGTAATTCATATTGGCTCCAGCTGATGCTAGGAATTCACATGCAGTAGTATCACCTGAGAAAAGTTCAGCGTTTTTAAGCGATAATGCGTACAGCTTTCCATTCTCATATATTCAGACGGCGCAGTTCGCCTGGGTGGGGGCATTCTGCCCTTTTGCTATTCCTTATTGTGCTGCCGAGCCATCAAGAAGAGATTTGTGAAATCTTGTCAAGTCGTGAAATAGTAACAGTTGAAGTTCGTAGGGACCCCCTTGTCAAAATTTTGTAAAAGTACATGCCAGCTCTCGAAATAAAAATACCTGCTCACCTCTCGAAACGCAATGAACACGGCAATGGAAAGCAGAGAAAGTGCAAAAGGCCTCCTCCTAGCCGAACTGCGTCGCTTTGACAAGAACATAATGAAGAAGAATGAAAACAAACCTGCCTTTCTCTATCATCCGCATCAGTACAGATCGGCCTGACTCATCAGTAAAATTGCAGTCTGCATTTTTCTTTAGAAGTTGGGACGCAATATCATGGTGGCCCAAAGTCAGAGCTAACTCCAGTGCGCATAATCCCTTCTCGTCAGCAGCATTAACGACGGTGTGGATCTAAACTCGCATATTGTCTTGAGAATAAGAAAAAGGAAAAAGAGTGAGCTATTCCAGAGAGCAGTTGGGCCGCAACGGTGGTCTGCGTAGAAGAGAAATCCACGACTCGGGAAAAGGCGAGTTAGCGAGAATACGCGATTCGATCAAATCCCATCCCTTGTCGCCGAATCTTCCGGGATGGCAAAGCCCCCAGATCGATCCCTTTTAGTTCCTTTTCGTGCACACTCCCTTGCCGTAGACTTCCCATTTTCAAAGTATAAGCGCGCTCTATGTGCTCCAAGAGCATATGGCCACACCCCCCCCCCTTGGGTCCTTGCATCAAAGACGATGACGACAGCCGCCGCCAGCATCGTGCCTACTGTCTTCAAACAAAGAGCTCTTTGGCAAAAAAGCGCAAAGAAACTCCTGCTGCCACAATACGCAGGGCACAGTCTGTACTCTTTTGGATTTGACCTATAAACTAAAGAAGTGCAGGAAGTGAAAGGCAAAGGCGAGCCTTGGACGAAGTGCTCTTACCTTGGAATCATTTTCGATGAAGTATAAGAGAAGAACGTCTTCACGATTGAGCTGGACGATAGAATGAAGAACGTGAGGCGAATTCCTGAATAAACAAAAATCGTTTTATTGCCGAAACAAGCTTATGTTTCTCGAAAGAAAGGTACAAATAACAAGGAAAAGTTCAAACAGCGAAATGAAATAAGAGCAGTTCTTTGCTGACTCCGTTCCTAGCGCTCTCTCTAGTGAAACCGCGATAAAGTGATGGTTCGGGCATTGAACAGTATGTCCCCGAGATGCGCCATACATCCCAGTTATCTTTGTAACGCAGTAGCATTTGAAGGCGATCAGTCCTATACCATGCGGCGAAGACTATACCATGGCTTGCAGGGTGGATAAGTCAGAGATCTTATCTCACAGACGAATCTGGTACCCAAGCCGCCCCCATAGGAAGAAGGCTTTGTTGGTCTGAGTGGAAGCTGATGCGAAGTGATGCAAGCAGTAGTTGAATTGAGTAAGGTCATGTAAGTGACAATATCTTACCTCTTCAGTAGACGAAATAGGGAAGGTGCTGACAAATGCGAGAACTGCTGTGGCTTGAACTCACTCCAATGAGCAGCAATTATAGCACAGCAATAATCGCGCAACTCCACAACACCTTCTATATCGGCAAAATCGAACAATGAAATGCAATTTTTCACATCCACACGAATTTTCAGCAACTGAACACACCTAAATAATTTTCTCTCAAAAATCACTTTGGTTTCTTGAAAAAACAAACAAGGTACAGTCTTGTTCGTTGCGAATGGAGGGGCGTATCAATGAGGCGGGATTGGTGCGACATTAGCCCGTTCTACAGCAGTTGTTCAAGCGGGTCAGCGACAAGGATTGGTGGAAAATGACTTATACTAAAGATGTGATACAGTCTTGTGGCTTGCCGAAAGAAAAAAAAAGAAAAAAGGCTGGCGCCGCGCTGAACCCACTCCCTTGTCACGCCCCATCATCCGCAGCGAACAAGGCTGAACTGAATAGGGCAGGAATTACTACCTTGTTTGAAGGCTGCTGAAATGAAATCGGAATGCAATTTGACACACTTCCTGTAGAAGGTCAATGTCGAGCTGTGAACGTGGAAGGCTATCTGTATACATCCATCGGTAAACAACCTCAAAGGCCTTGGAAGAGGTGTCTGCAAACGATAGGATTGAAGAAATGAAAAGAACGCTATGAAAAGTGTCAAAAAAATAAGTTAGCGGCAAGGATGCCATTGAATGGTGAG